GGGAAATATTTGTTTTATTATTATTTTTCCTAAAGGCTCACAGATGATGCAGTACAGGAGTTTCTGGCTGTATGTTGCCATCCTCTTGGCAGCTTCTTGAGTTTGTCCCGCAAAAGCTGCCTTTTCCTGCTGGAGCCAGCCGTTGCCAGTGTTGGAAGCTGTGTCTGCAAATATCTTGGCTGGCTTCTTCTGGCTTACTGCCCAGTCTGCACATTGCTGCAAAGTGGGGTCCCTGTGAGGAAGCCAGATAGCTTGTTTCAGAATGATGAAGCGATTGATCACTTGGCCACAGCAGACAAACATCCTAGTTAGGAAATGCTTGTCAAACTGGTAACACTACGCTGTTTTTGAAAAGCTTTATGTCCTTGATGTGCTTGATCTCATTTGTCCTGCTGATCTTCTAGATTTCTGTCTGGTAATGGCATCCCACCAGTGCACCTTAGGATACTGTAAAATCCACAAAGAGAAAGTCAGGCACAGATGGAGGCTACTTTGCATGCTTTCTTCTTAGTTGAGTGGGACAGTTTTTTGGTGTTCTGCTGATTGGTAACACAATTTAATCATGGTCAGATTATTTCATCTCACTCCAGTTTCTCTTATGCCCAGTCCTCTCTTTTAAGACATTTTCACATTCAGCTAGCTATTGGACAATATGACTGCTTCTTATAGACACAAGTGCTTCAGGATATGATTCTTACAATCCATCATTGTTCACTACAAAGAGTAAATCAGGGTTTTGAAATCATACCCTGCTGCTGTTTATAAGATAGTTTTCACATGGCTATACAATTGTCTTCCAGAAAACTTTCCTCATACTTTCCTTGAAGTTACTTTAATTGTAGTTTCAAATCACTTGTTATCAGGATCATGCTAGTGCATTTGCTTTCTCTGGTATGTTCAGATTAATCATAGAGTTACTGGTATACAACCAATCCTCAGTTTTGCTTGTAGTTAATTCTGCAAAAATTAAGTTTGTTGTCTGCATTTTCAAATGTAAGTTGGATCCATGCAAATGCATGTTTTTGAATAAAAGCAAAGCATGCTGGATGTCTTCATACAGTGCTGTGCTGAGCAAGTAACCCCAGCCAGACCAGTTAGTCAGCTAGAGCCACTGAGCATGTGTGCTCTGCCCTCAGAAGGCTTTGTATTCTAAGGGTTTTGTCAGCTTGTGTGCAGTATGGCACGAATGCACAGGGCAAGTCTTACTCTAATGCTGAATATGAGTCACTAAGCCCTTTTCAGAACACATGCAGCTGGCAGCATATCATGGTGCTGTAATGTTTGTAAACCCCACAGGCTTTTGAATTAGCCAGGAAGTGTCTCTATTTTCATACATGTTTTAAATCTACCATGGGGACTCACCTTCTTGGGTGGAGGCTGGGATATACTTTATAGAAAACAGATTAGTTTTGAAGAACTCACAGCAGAAAAAAAAAAATAAATCAAATCCACAAAAGAAAACAGAAGAAACAATGATGTGGCTTTTTCACTCTGAGTAAATATAGAAGTTAAGCTACTGGCAGCATCATGTTGAAGAGGTGTAAATACTGTGGTTCTTGTCTGGATAGCTTTAGCATGGTGACGGCGTTTGCCAAACCATTCAGTACAGTTACTGGAGATCATGTTCTACAATATGAGGTTAAAGCACTTAATTGCAACCTAATGACCAACTACTGCTGTGGGAAACTGTACCTTGTCTCTACTCAACAGATTGCTGCTTTGACTACCATCAGTTGCTGCACATCTCCCCACAATAAACCCTCCCCCTCCCCCTTTTTTTTCTTCTCTAGTTGTGACTTTGATCAGTGCTTTCTTTGACTATATGCACAAATGTCCTTTCTCTTCTAACCTGGAGTGCTAAAATTTCCTTTATTTTTTTTTTAATGGGAGTAAAGACTATTGACTTCAGCTAGTTGGCTAGTTTAGCAAAGAGACTACCAAATTTTTGGAAAGTGTCAGCATAAATGATAATTTTCATGCAGTTTCAAATTTCATGCAAACAAAAAATAGTTTTTTGGGGAAAATTTTGTGCACAAGCATTTAAGATCTACCTACTTCTTCTGTTCTTACTTTTGTTAGTTAAGAAGACTGTAAGGATTGTTACATGCCAGACCAACCTACTGGTTGGCTTTATAGCCTGAATTGGTTTCTGACTTCTCATTTAATACTCTCCCACATAGTTCCTAATGGGAACCAATACTTACTCCTCTTTGCTATCTGACCATTCTTCTTTCTGTACTTGTCTTCTTTTTGGAAAGTGCAAATACAGTTACGTGGAAACACCTCAGTGCTCTTGTGGTGTAAGCAAACACATCTATGGCATGTTTCTTTTCTTTTAGTGTATTTTTCTTAACCAACACAAAGTCTCACAAACCATTCAGCTGACAATGCTGGTTTTGAGAAGCAAAGTACTGGAAGATAATGGAAGGCCATAGAAGTGCTAGGCTATCTTCGCCTTGTGTCTGGTATCCAAAATAAGATGTCACGTTGTCAAATCTTAGCTCCCAAATGTAGTCCCTGCCCTGCAAGTGCTGTCAGAAGCAAGCCTGGGGAGTTTGCCCAAACAGGATGTAGGCCAGCCCTTAACACTGCTACTGTACCAGCTTCTGTCAACTTATGTGCTCAGCACAGGGTATGTGTAGGCTGCCTGCAGCTTAGGGGCCATCTTTAGTGTCCATGAGGCAAGTAGCACCACATCTGGATTGAGACCTGTCAAAAGAGATGAGCTTTAACACTTAGAGCAGCAGGATGAGGAGGACAAAGATAGAACTGCAAGGTGACTCCAGTTGTATATTGTCCTTAAGTTCTGTTTATGTTGCAGTATAATTTAAATGCAGTCCTTCAGCTCCAGAATCACAAAAAGCTAAAGATTTTGTGCTAATTAGTAATCTCTGGAGTCACACAGCTCTCTAATACTTACCTAGAGATTAAAGACATTTCATGTCTAGCATATTTTAATATCAAGAAAGAATTAATGTTGTAATTTCCATAATTAAGGTCTTGACATTAGTATTTAGAAAGGCCAATTTTTGTATGATGTTTCCTCTCTAACAGTATAATCAAAGTTCTGGTAGCTGGCCAAGATGCAAAAGTTGTTTGTAGGTCATTGTAGGATTTCCCCAGCTGGATGGCAGGGACTCACAAGACCCACTGCCTATGTTTCTACACATAATAATTCCCATGTATGGGTGATGAAGAAAATAATGTGAAAAGAAGAAAACCACAAACACAGTTTGTGGGAAAAAAAAAAAAAGAAATAAATTGTAAAGCTCATTTTCTTACACAGAAGTTTGAATACTGGTCAGAGAGCATTACAAAATACATTAGGATGGCTAAAACAGTTTATGCTATCTGTGATTTGAAATAAAAATCTTGATTGTTTTAACCTCTACATGCTTACCACCATTACCACGGTGGTTAAGTGTTATTATTCCAAGATATGGTTTAAATGGAGCGATGCACAGCATAGCACAGAGCCAGTTTTCTGCCACATCTGCGCTGAGCAATGGTTTTTATATCAGTAATACCCAAGATATTCATGGCTAGGTTTCTTCAAATCTCTTATTATATTTGCCTAGTATTTCCAGTTGCATAAACAATTTTCTTTCACATTGCTGTTACTAGTCTCCTTTAGAAATTTCCCATTTTCACTGTAAATGCTGCCTTGTATTTGTCTGTAACTCCTAGATATGTAATAACTCTTTTCATTAAAATAAGCCATGTTCTACATAACTTATCAGAGATGTGTTAACTCTTCTCTCCTGCTACTTCTGTGTTTTACAGTATTGGTACAGTAAACACAGGCATTCATGAATTTAACTTAATGCCATCCTGCTGTGAAACAGTGTGAGATTACAGGTGTGAATATTAGGGTCTGGAATAAAGAAATATGATCAGCAGGTTATGTTCATGTTTTTTCTGAAAGATTAGTCTCTGGAGTACCTTTGAACATCATACTGGTATGCCCACCTGCCTTCTACCTTTGTAAGTCCTATGGAGGGAGTATTTAGGCTGTTGCAAGGCTAAGAGTTTGGTCTTAAAAGCAGTCTCAGGGATTTCTTCTGTAATTATTGAAGAACTACCAATCTGGTTTACTGCAGCAGTCAAAATTTGAACACAGAGTTCTGTGCTGATGTTCCCAAGTCCTCCAGCAGTACTGTGGACAAATATTTTGACTTCATGAATGGAGCTGATGGAATCATGTTTGACCCCTGCATTCCAAGGAGCAAGATACTATATGACACCAATATGATTTTAATCACAGATGAAACATGAAATTACCAGAATACATAATCTGGAAAGGGCTGAGTATTCCCAGTATCAAAAGGAGAAAGAACACTATGAAAAAAAAAATCAAAACTCTATCAAATTTCACACAATGTAGGACAAGGGCTGTTTGCAACTGCTACACAATTTAAACAGAAAAAAAAAAAAGCATTCTCCAGCTTTTACTGGTACAATTGTAAATTCCCCCAAATACTTGCATAAATGTAAAATCCCCAAAATACTGGGAGATAAGTTTGAGAAAGCTCGCCCTGTATTTTCACTTTGCTTGTGATACTGCACATTAGGAGAGGCTCTAGATACCATTTACTATTTCCCTTCCTCTTGTCCACTTCCCTCACCTGAAATACCCTCTTAAAACACTATTTTCTTTTTGATGTTCAAACAACAACACTAAACAATTGAAATTTTAAATAATGATTGAGGATTTTTTTTATTCATTTAAGTTTCAGTATCATTACAGAAAATGTTATGGTACAGAGTTGTTTAACATCAGTTTTATTTCTTTGCTCATTTAATTTCCACACGAATGCTGGTAACACTAATATCTGTACAAGATCAGTCTTTGATTTTTTTGTTTTTTTTTTTTTTTGTTTTTAGTTCTGTACATTTTTAAATGTATTGGTTAAAAAGGCTGTCAGCACTTAAGGAAGCAATTTTTTGATTGCTGAAATAAAAGGTATCCAGTTACTGCCCAAGAGTACTGAGCTGGGTGGCTGCTGGGACAAGAGAGATCCCTGAATGCACAGCGAGGTGAGGAAACCTCGGGGCTTCATTGGATTCCCAGTGCAGCCACTCTGCTTTTGGCACTGTGCACATCAACACGAGATACAAGATAAAGAACAAGCAGAAGCTCTCTGTGAAGCGGTTATGAAGCATACTGATAAGGGAAATCCAAGTGTCGTCTACGCTAGTATAAATAAGCAGACAGCCTTGTTTTAAGCGCATAAGTAGTTGTATCTTAAAGATGAGAAAAAACACAAGTTCTGCAGGCACCTACTGCTGTCTACTAAAAGCTACCGCTATTAGAACTAGCATTGAACACACAAAGCAATTGCAAGGAAAGGAAAAAGTTGCTTTGATATAATCAGAATAAATTTCTTTGTTAAGATTTCTTTTTAAAGTTTTTTTTTTTTTTTAAAAGGTATTTATTTAAATTCCATTTGAAATATAATTCAAGATGTTGACTATACTGATCAACTTTTATCCAAATCAGAAAAACTAGCTGTGCCGTTGCATATTACAGGATACAGTCAATGATATGTGGACATGCATCAAAGCTTCGCTCTTGCTGGTGACATCATAGCCTTCCAATGACCATGACATCCACCACCTCCCCCTTGTGAAGCTCCACATACTGCTCTGTCTTTGGAGGTAGCATCAACAGTCCATTGGCACTGCGCATACTCATCAGACGGCTGCTCATCTGATTCCCTACAGAAGGGTGAGAGAAAAAGTTCAGTTAATTTTTCAGTTAGTTAATTTCAAATGCCACAACACACAAGACAGGAAGCAAGAGCTGCTCTTACAAAGATATGCTAACATATTCATGGAACTTCAATATATCTGTTCAAAGGTGGGTAGAAACAATTTTGAAGAGATTAATAAGCTTTGCATTGTTCTGGTTTTGAAAACTCTCTTTCCTTTGCTGATTACTTTCCTATCCAGCCTTCCATATTTTTTTCTGTTAGATCTTTACCTGTACTTCATTTTTGTTGTTGTAAATTACTTTAATGTTGGAGATTCTAATCCTATCAAAATTACTTCGTTTTTCAATTTGTATATCTAGTTCAGATTGTATGGAGGCTAAAACCACCACAATCTGAATTTTTTTTTTTTAAATATACCAACTCAAAAGAATAGGTTTCTCTGGGATACAAGCTATATAGGATACCCTGGAGATAAACCGTGTAGTATTGGCTGTACTGCCAAAAAATGAAAATGCAGTGGAAAATCATGCACCTTATTTTCTTGGCTTTCAAACTTTTGGATTGACAGATAAATCATTCCAGTCTGCTTGAGCAAGGAAAGAAGTGATGTGCGACAAAACAGATAAAATATTCAAATATAGAATTTATCTCAACTGCAGCTGAATATCCAAAAATATCCCTAGATTGAAAACATGATTAATAAATGTCTTAGTCTCCACTAAGAGAACATATACAGCTGTTTCTTCTTCTCCAATTCAGTTAGAATCACAATTCGTTATCTGAATTGTTGCTATGGTTCAACTTGTGTTTATTTAGTACAGAGGAAGTAAAGGTGCCTCTGAGTGCAAATAAGCACAGATGAGTATTTACAAAAAGCACACAATATATGTGTGTGTGTACAGAGGTGGATTATTCCGATAAGGTTTTAAGAATTAAGTTGGTAAGACACAGCATGAATTTCAATATCATGACTGGGTAGCACGACTGTATACAAGGATGTTCACAAGTCAGAAAATCAGTCTGCATGACAAAACTTGTATGAAAATACATGTGCATGTGGGTTTGTTGGTTCTTTTGTTGTTTGTTTCTTCTAAAGCATGTATGGCAGACTGACAGGGCCTGCGAGTGCATCTGTCAGTTTGTGTAACTGGGCACTGACCTGTACTCTGTGCCCAAGGTAGTGGTTCTTGGTGATGCCAAGTCAGTATGCACCGATGATATTCTGGGCGGGGGTCCAATTTTACATCACATGATAACTGTAGAAGAAGCAAAGAAAGAATGAAAATGTCATGTATTCAGATATCACTAAGATAATAGAATCATCTCTTCAATCTTTCTTCCTTAATAACAGTCTTTTAAAAAACTTGCATTTCTAGGCCACATGGTGTCTAGAGCAAGATCAAAGGCCGTAGTAGGTAGAGACTGCACTATTTAAGAGAGATACAACTATAATATTACAATATCAAAGAGTATGCAGGAGTCTGCATGCATTAAGTGGAATATTCCAAAACTGTTCTTTTACTGGGAGTTCAAAGATACTACTATCTCTCAGGAAGAAAAGCTTTATCATTTCTAGTCTCTGGCTCACATTTTGTACAGATAAAAAATTTATTCACATTCAAAGCACTGCTAGTCCTGACCAAAAGGAAATGACCAATATTTGAAATGAAAAGACGTACAGGAGATTGCTCAAAATGAAATTTAATGAAAGCACACTGCAAAATGTATGCAAACACGAGGGTCATGTTGGAGCATCACATTTCTCAAAACTGGAATGCTACAAATTGCTGCCTGTCTTACAACACTTTAGCCATGAGATAAAGAAAAAGATGGACTACTGAGGAAGCATGTAAGAGAGACACAAGGGATGAGCAGTAAGAGAAAAGTTTCTGGAATGCCAGGAACAGTAGAAAAAGTGTAAAAGGTAATCTGTTTTTTGGTATCTTCTTTAAAACAAAAATAGGAGAATAATACATTATTTAATACAGATTTAAGACCGGTTATTAAAGAGCTACTACATCCACCATTTCTTATGAGAGTTGCATTAATAGTTTAAAGAATTCACATTGCTCAGGTGGAGTATGTGGATTACTTGCATAAACAATCTGCTCAAGAGCAGAGAGACTTTCATGTTTGTAGTTTTTGATACTGAACTATCTTATTCCTTAAGTATTTCCAGGTTACCCTCTATTTTTTATTTTTTTTTAACCACACATTAAAACAAATGTATGTTTTTTACAGTGAAGTGTCCTCCCTGCCTGACTAGCAAATGGCTGCATCTGTTATCTGTAAATCTTACTCCACTACTTGGCCACTCACTTTTAGAAATCATGGGACTGCATATTAACATCAACAGATTCAAGTCTATGCCTCTGTTGTCTGTGAAATTCTTTCAACTTGTCAGAATTGACGTAGCGTTCAGATCCCTCAAACTTTTGAGCTCAAACAATAGTGTTTCAACAACTTGAGAGAACTTTCAAACACAGGACAAGCTTCTTACCCTGGCTTTGATAATAGTGGGCCGAGGATCCAGGATACCCTGCATTTTCCTCAGTGCAGGAACAACAAAGAGATTGCAGGTGACAACAGCTGACACAGGATTGCCTGTAGGACAAAGAATGGTAGTGAAAGAAAGAAAGAATGGTGGTGAAACCCTCTTGATTTACTCTGTGAAAGCAATATCCTATTTTTATAATAATCATACCCTAGTGATTCTGAAGAACTTTCTATGCTGCATACAACTGTCCACTTATGTCTGGGGTGGCATGTGGCAAGTAAAACTCCTCAAAGCTATACTCTCTGGCTAATAATGGTGTCCTGAAATTCAGCTCTGATCACAACTTCTTTGTGTTCCTCATGCCCCACCATTTGCTTCTGTTCCCCTGCCACCTTTCTTATTACATCTAGATTTATCTGAGGTGGGGCCAGCACTTATTGTGCAGAGGTATAAGTCCAAGCTCATATGGATATGAACTCATGATTTCCAATTCAAGGTTTCCAAGACAAATGGAAAAATAGGTATTATTAAGTGACTTTCTATTCCCTAACAGAGTTGCAAGAAGCTTTAACATGATTGTGGAGGAGAATTCTACTGCTTTATACGTTGACTAAGAAGAGAGGTGTATGACTAAACTTCTGTCAAACACCTCTTGTCTTACGCATCTAGTCTTCTCTAAAAGGCAGTTCTAATGTAAATAATATGAAAGAGAGAGATGTTCCATTATCTCTGACCTGGTGAACACACATTGAAGCAGGAGAGAGAAACATGAGATAAAAAAACAGTAGAGACATCTGAACATCACTAGCTAATCAAGAAAAGGATTCCTCATTGTCAGAAATCTATGCAAAGCCAAAGCAAAAGAATAAAATTAAGGAGGACAGAGATTTGTAGGTGGATTCCCAAATAAATATTTATTCTGAACTCACTGATTTCCTCCAGCATGCAGGAGGTGAAGCACTGCTGCCCTCTCATGTTCCAAAGTGTGAACATGACTAACAACTTCCATTCTGTGACATATTCCTAGGCACTCTCTAGATCTCATCTCCACTTTCAATACTTTAGAGTGGATGTGCTGACATTCAAAGAATCTCCATCTATAACGTGGAGGGAGCTGTGGGAAAAATCACCCCTGCACAGCATGTTAACAAAAGCCAAGGAAATTGTTGGATGGAAAAAATCATAAGGCTTGTAACCCAACCAGCACATTCCGAGGACAAGAGTAAGAACACCAGACAAGGGTGTTGTGAAACATCACTATTCTGTTTCAGATCTTGTCATCTGTGCACAGCAACAAAAGTAATCCAAAAAACATCTTACCTGGGAGTGCAAAGATTATTTTTCTTACACCATCAATATCCAGAGTTGCAAAAGTTGTTGGCAGGCTATGGAAAAGGAAAATTTATGATCTGCATTGGAATTTGACTGAACGTATTACATTATTATTTAAAATATTTAGAAAATAAAACAAATGGTCATTTTGCTTCTGTTGAGAAAATATCCAAGAGTAGATGAATTAATACGCAAAAAAAATCAAATTCTATCTTACTGTCAGAAGCCAAATCAACCAATAAGTTATACCAAAATTAAGCTGCTACAGAGCTGTATTTGTTTTTTATATAAGGCTCTCATTTTTTTCTTTTTTTTGGTAACATTAGTGACTTCCATTCCCCTTACTCTAGTGTTTATAGCAGGATTAACAATGGGACAATATTTCAGAGCAAACAGTCCACAGATGAACAAATTCAGATACACAGGCAGTACTGCTCCTGAATATGATCTCCATCCAAGCTACCTCATTAAAAAGATTTCTTACCCTGGTTTCATAAAAACTCTGCCAAAGTGAATCTGTGCATGAAGATCAATATCCAGCACCTGTTTAAGATAGTCCTGTTTAAATTATAAAAAAGAAAATCAATTAAGTAACATCAAAGTGGCTTACATCATCTAAGTGTTCAAAGCAATTAACTGATCTCTAGTGAAGATGAAAGACTTGCTATATCCTGAAAGTGCTACAGTCCAATTGGGAATTTCCAATATTTGAAATAAAGTATTTTCAAAAATAAGACGTGAAGAACAGACTCATTTCTGGTGCCAAACCTGACTCTACAAGGACATAGTAATATATCTACTTAAAAGTCAGCTGCAGCAATAGAATCTTTAAGGACCCGACCAAGAGGCTACTAAAACATTCTGTCTATCAAAGATGGAAAAAAAAAAAAAAAAAAAGCCTTTATGATTCAAAGTTAAGCCTTAAAATGATCGGGTTATTTGACTTTTTACCACAGAAGCTGTCCAGTGGCAGAGTAAGAGATCTCCTCGTACTTCTGAATTCAAGACTGCACTGTAGAAATCATAATTTTCCAGGATACTGTAATTACTGTAATTTCTTGGGGATGTGGCATAATAGGTTTAACTATCCTAAGTTTCTTAGAAAGGAAGAACTGTGATAGCTTTTACAATAGTTCAAAAACAGTTTTACATAAATACTATTGATCCAGTTAAGAAAACTGGAATTACATATTTAGTCTTCATCGAAAATTGCTATGCTGAAAGATTCGGTGCACTATCTGTTGTGTTTAGTGAGACTTAAGAGACAGGACATAACAATCACCTGTTAAGACAGACTTTGGAAGCAGAAAATCTGAAATTCCCATTTTCTCTCTCTCTCTTTTTTTTTTTTTTTTTTTGGTTCAAATACTTGGAAAGCAGCAACTTTTTTTTTCAGCCAGGCGTAATTCTCAGTTAGTGATTGCATTAACCACATTTTTATTTGCTATTTAGTTTTCGGATGCTCACAGTTATTTCATTAAAAGTCTTGAATGCTCAGTATCAGAGGAAGAACTGTCAGAGGAATGTAGGGCCCATTGACTTTATGCAGTTGCCTAAAATTCAGGCGAGGGAGAAGTTAGCCAGAATGCGTAAATGCCTGTGAGACCATTCACCAGTGTAGTTTCTTTCTGGAGTTCCCATGTCTGTACTAGGTCACCACACTCCCAATTTAGAGACCAGCACTTGGCCTTTGACATTTTTCTAGGAATACTGAGAGGAATAATGGAATTGAAAGTAATTGGCACTGGTTTAATTTGTTAATCATTTCCATGATGTATCCAACAATATGATTTCTACTCAGAAAAGTGACAAAAACAGCACTCATGTTTGTCATCTCCTAATGGCTGACTTTAGTATCTGTAATTTATAAAAGGAGAGATGTTTCTTTTACCTGCCAAACTCACAGATTCAGTCTGGGATCAAAAAGTAATCTGAGTTTTCCTTCGCATAAGTCATGATTAATAAATGTCCTGCAGGTTCATCTACGCCCCACCAGCATCTGTGTATCCCTATTTTCTTTGATGGTTTTGGCACAGGGATTACCAACAGGAACTCAATCAACAATTCTGTTAATGATTCAAAAGGCAAATATATCAGCTCACTGTGTCTCATATGTATTGCCTCTGTAGGACTATCAGGAGTAAAATGTGACAAAACTATTTTTGTAACAGATACAGCTCTGGCACAAATAGGAAACAGATATACTGAATAAGAAAGAACTATTTATATACTTAGCTGCTTTTCAAAGTACTTGCAAAGTAGCTTTATTCTACCTACATTTTACCTGCTCTAAGAGTAGAAAGAAGTCTCTTGTCTTCATGTGCTATAAACCTATCACCTTTGTCATCATAACTATATAAATAATTCCTTACTTAAAAAAATGCAAATCACTTACATCAAGAACAAGAATCTTCCCTTTTATTCTATGCATACTATAGTGTGGTAATAAGAACAAATTAAATGAAGATAGTATTCAAGGCTATTTTCTTAATTATTCACACATAGATGTTCTCTCCCCGCCCCTCTCCCCCCCTCCCCACAAAAAAAAGAAGGAAAGAAAGAAGAAAAGAAAGAAGAAAAGAAAGAAAAGAAAGAAAAGAAAGAAGAAGGAAGAAAAGAAAGAAGAAAGAAGAAAGAAGAAAAGAAGAAAGAAGAAAAGAAAGAAGAAAAGAAAGTAGGAAAGGAAGAAAGGAAGGAAGAAAGGAAGAAAAAGAGAAAGAAAGAAAGAAAAAAAAAAGAAAAAAAAAGAAAATGGCCCCTTTTTAGAAAACTAACACAAAAGCAGAAGCTCTGATGACAGACTCTGGTTTGAAATTCTTATAAATATTATAGTAAGTCATACTTAAATTTAGCATACCTTTTCTCCCATAGACACCCCTCCTGATGTAATGATCACATCAGCACGGCTGATACCTTCATTCAGTGCATTCAGTAAATCATCTGGGCTACAGAAAAGAAGAGGTAAGCAGATTAGTGGCACACAGCTACTATGAGTTACAGTGTGTAAGCATCTCTGTGCACAGATATAGGTGTATATACACACACCCACTTTAAAAAGGAAACACAACTAAGATAATACTGAGATCTTATCCTTCTGAAGACTCCACACTGCTCTATTCAACTCATGAAGCACAGGTGTATTAAGCAGACACCACAAAGGTTACCCTCTTTCTACCTAAGAGCTTTGTATAATGAATGGAGGGATAGCATAGGTTGGGATTGAAGAACGCCAATACAAATCTATAAAAGCATGCCATTTACACAGCTACTGGTAGCAGTACAAATTATGATTTAGGTCAACTGACAGATCTATGCAGAGGGACCTGACTATGAAAATTACTGGCCACCAAGCAGGCTGCAGTACTACCTAACTTATTTGATGTGTGTAAAAATGGGGGTAAGGCTCCACTTCAAACCTCCATCAGTGCAAATTGGGAGTAAATCCTTTGTTTATCTCCTCCTCTTGAGGGCTCTGCAGTAAAGGCAATTGTGCATCTACTTCATCTTGACAAACCATCATCCACCTTGTTCAAGTATGTGTTCTTCATGAGAAACAGTAAGCAGAGAGCTGTCATGTTTCTTCATAATAAGAGTATAATTGCGAAGATGAAGGATAGAAACTAAGTGCAACACTTTCAGTGTCTTAAAACTTTTTTTAAAATCTAAACTGAAACTGTAGTTTTCAAGTTACCATTACCCATCTGATAAGAGTGCTGTGCTAACAGGGAGCTTAAAGGCATGTGGGGAGAAACTCTGTAGCATAAACTTTGTCAAGAAGGCTGAGGGAAACCAACAAGACATTAAATGTGTACTTTACATTTAACATTTGTAAACTGACCAGAAACTAACCTATTGCTAGGACTGCATGTCATGTTCCTTCAAAAGCATCAAATAGCACAGATCCTGAAAACAATTTTTATGAGAGGCTATTCCTTATGTGAATGCTGTTCACTTAACTGGCTGTAATACTAATGACTGTACAAAGGAGTTAATCTGGAATATGTGGTCCCAGTTATCACATTACAAATTACATTTATGTGTTATCAAGACTTTTCAGGCTGCAAATGGCATGTATGCTATACTTGGTTAACTTCTGCTATATGTCAATACAAAATAGAATCACCACAGTTCTTTCGGAGACTGAATTGGAAACAGGAAAATCAAAAATACTGTGTAAGATCTGGTTGACCTTTCAGAGAGACTAATAAATTGTGTGTTCCAAGAGGTTTCAGACAGAGGAAGCCTTTCCTCTGTGCATCTTGTCTTTGCCCATGGCTTGCTAAAATTTGATTTATGCAGTACTTTGCATATCTTGGTGCTGCATGCACAACATTTTATGTGATACAAGAATAACTCGCTCACTGAGTAAATAAATCAAGTGCATGCAAACCTGCACACTCACCTATTCACCAGAGAACTCATAAGCTTTTTCCACCTTTATCATCTTACAGGCAGAAAGACTTCAGAACCTGTTCTCCACCATTTCCGATAAGTTATGCAGCCTTCTGATTGGCATCACATGTGATTATGCTGCACAGCTTTTCTATGTAATAGGGAAGCTCTGAAAATAATTGCTCCTATTTTATGACATCAGCCTACAATGTCAGATGTCAGTAATGCGGCAGTAGGGTTGAAACTTCCCACCAATACTCTATTGCATTTTATTGCTGTGAGACAGATGGCAGCAGAGGGACAATCTGACTAAATGGTGTCTAACGTGGAAGTGTGTATGAATCAAAGGTCTGGCAGTGAATTCCTCTATTTGGAAAAAAATGGCACCCACTGACATTCACTGATGCATGCTGAACATCTGTGGAGCCCAAACAGTAGATGTGAGCACAGTGAGGTGGTGGGCAGAGTGTTTCTGCAGTGGTGGCAGTGACAGTGGGTCACCTCTGCTGGTGCAGATTTTGAGGTGTGGAGCATGCAGGCTTTTGTTCATCACTGCTGAAAATGCACAGCTAATGGTAGAGACTGTGTTGAACAAGAGTGTTTTGTAGCTCTATCAAATAGCACTATTGTTCTCTTTGTACCTGTTGAAGTTTCCATGAAAATAAATAGAAGACATTACTTTTGGAGCAAGCTATGTATGTATGTATCCACTCCTTAGGTATATCTCTTTCTAAGAGGTAGGCAACAAGCTACAGTAGAAGGAAAGGCAAATTACTAGTGCTATAATGTTGTCTGTAATCAGTCAGCTATAATGAAATACTGCCATTTTTTAAAGGAAGGAGTGACTATACAGATCGTGGCATGACTCCAGGATTTGTATAATGTGTTAAATGGCAAGCTGTTTTAGGTTTCTGCATATCTTGGATGCTCTAACTAGCCTTTAAAGTAATGGCTGAACTCCATTTTCTTTGGGGGAAACATGAAGCATACAAACTCAAAGAAAGCCATCTTCTTCTTTGTTCTTTATGAAGCAGAAACATTTTCTCAGTTGCCCTTACTGAAATTTCAGGATCATTTCATCCAAAACCAGCACAAATCTTCACTAGTTATCAAGGGCAATAAGAAAAAAACAAGTCTCTTGTTGGCTACTGTTGGTGTCCTCTTCAGAACTAATTGTTTCATACTGATGGTCTAGGAAGTACTCTGTATATGGTAAGATGTTGCTTAAGATTACTACAGAGTTTGTAATAGGAAAGGTCTATCAATAATCCAAGTCTTCCTTAATCCTTGACAATGATGGGGCAGGCTGGTATGCTCCAAGGAACACACATTCTTTATACAGGTGGATATAGGCCTTCCTTAAACACAATGACAGCCAGATACTCATGGCATTAGTCTTAGGTTAAGACTGTTTTAAGTTTAGTTTCCTCACTACATCGTGATGCAGGTGAGAATCTTACCTGGAGTTTGCTTCAGGCTGTTTCATTTGATCTTGCTTAATTATTTAAAGGTTATTCATAGGAAGCAAAGACCACTTGTTTGAGGAGATCCTAATTCTGAAGTATGAAGCGTACTTGCTTCTGGTTGTGGTTTGAGAACAGCGAAAGGAACAGTATAAAGCAAACAAGTCTGTATTTAACTGCTGTTAAATAGAATGGAAGGGCTCCATATATACTGAATATGTACTGAATTATAAATTTATAAAATATAAAATTACTTACCAAAGGAGGAAACTAAAACAGTATAAGCCCAATCTCAAATCAGATGAAGGCTCTGTTTATGAAAGTAGCATACCACTGGAGTAGCTAATCATAGGGTTTTTTTTAGTTACATGCCATATAAAAGTGAAGATTACTGGACTTAATTTTTTTTTTTTTTTTTTGCATTTCCAGTAGAATGTCCTGTATAGTAGATCTCTTTCTTTACCACATGTGAAATGTGAAAAACATTTCTAAAATCTACTGCTACTTCCAACCTATAGCACTGTCTATTCTCTTTAGTTTGTTGCAAATTCAAATGAATTCTTCCAAATGAAAGATAAGAAATGAATGATTATGCTAGTTTTTGTTGTTTTTTCCCCCAAAAATACATACAGAGAATTTCCTCTCTTGTCTCTGCAAGAAGCATCTCTCTTTTTCTGTATTTGGCACAATTTTCTTGCTTCTTTATATCCTTTATATCCTACTTGAGGCTGGTATTTTTACTACCTCTGCAGTTAATAATACAAGGCACGCTCTTGAGTGGAGTAGTCTTCAGTCAACACAGTAGCAAACATTTTCCTTGTATTAGTGGAGTTAATGGAGAGAATTATCATTCAAATTGCACACTAACAAATATCTGATAATCAGATAAAAAGATATGACTTCTCAGTTCATTTGTTGCATAAAAAATGAGCAGCTCTCCATATTGACATGGAAATGGAATAAACGGAAGACTATTAACTTCTGGAAGAACAGAAAAAATAATTTTGGTATCTGAGTATAACATGACAAGATTGTTCTAATGGGCTTGTGACAAATCACCACAAAGCTGAGAAGCAACACTCACTATGCAGAAGCTTTCTTCTGAAACCCTGGCCATTACTAGGGCCAGGATACTGGATTAGCTAGACTAATGGTCTAATTTACTACAATAAATCCTTAAAAATGTCTTCTGAAAGTGCTATTCTTGTATTATTATTTTTTCCCCCCGTGGACAGGACTGAAACAGGTGCTCAAATATAACAGTGAATGCCTTAATCAGTGTAAAGGAGGTTTGATGGGAAGTCTCATTTCCAGATGGCAAAATTCTTCTGTTTCATTTGGTGATTTTCAAAGTCGGAGTGACATTGTGCAAGAGAAGAGTGTGCGCTTCTCTAACATGATGGAATTGATTAAAAAAAACTATAGTCTGTGTGCTTCAGATTACATCCCAGCATCTTCTGTAAATGCAACGAAGAAAATTGTTCTATAAGGTGACCTGCAGTTTATGAATCTATTCATATAGGTAAGTAAGTACAAATCCAAACTGTCTTTTAAAAAAGGAAGAAATCTCCATCTAGAGCAGATTGTGTCTGCACAAGTATATGAGTACTGTTTGTAGGTTGTTCTGAAATTAACGCCTCCTAACTACAGTGATACAAAGAGCACAATAACACTACTCGATACAGCAAATTCTCAGCTACAAAATACTACTTTTCAACAGTGACCACCATTACCTATGCATGTTTGCCAGCAATAAACAAGAACCTGCATGCTGCTGTCATAAAAATCTGCATTGCCATCCAGAATGCAGCTTGTCTAACTGTGCTTAGATCTACTGTTTGGTCTCCATGAATGTTCAGCATGCTTCAATAATGTCAATGGGTGCCATTTTTTTCCAGATGGAGGAATTCATTGCAACACCTTTGCCTCATCCACACTTCCATGTCAGTCACTATTTGGTCAGACTGCCCCTCTGCTACCATCTGTTTCACAGCAACAAAATGTAATGGAATATTGGTGGGAGATTTCAACCTCTACTGCCATACCACCAACATCTGCCTCTGACATAGTGGGCCAATACCATAAAATAG